TTCAGAGGTTTCAAACTAAAATAGAATTTGGTTTCGATTTTTGGAAATCGAAATCGAAACCGAAACCAACATGCATTATTCCAAACCGGTTAAATAAAAAAAATAAAATATAAATAGATTGTACGATATAGTGATTAGTATTTTAAGTTTAAAGCCTAATGATTTTAGGTTTAAAATTTAATTGAGTAATTTATTATTATTATTATTATTATTATTATTATTATTATTATTATTATTTTGTCAATCGAAACCGATGGATAGAATCATAATCGAAACTGAATCAGCAGTGTTGATTCTGAAACCAAAATTGCATGGAATCTAATTTTGCTTCTATGGTAGCTTTCCATGGATCATCCATATTATGGTAAATAACTTTTTTAGCCGTGGCCTCGGGGCCGACGCGGCTTGTTCGGGGGTCTGAATGGCGGGGATCTTGCGTGGCGTGCCTTGGGTCCTCCTGGCGGTCGACCACGGTGATCCGGATGTTCCGTCAGGGAGGAGCTCTGCAGCAGCGTCAGGGAGGAGGCGACCTCGTCTCGCACCTGCACACAGGTCGGGTCGGAAGCTCGGCCCGACCCCTCCGACGATCAAGTCAGTGATGTTGAGAGGATGGTGGGAGGTGGGATCTTCTGTCTCCGTCCCCCCATTCGTTTAGAACTCTGGGGTATTTGTAGTTGGGTTTGATGTTACTTGATGTGCCCGCTTGCAGGGGCAGGGCCATACCTCTGATGGCGTCTGACATTACCGCTGGGGTTGCGTGGAGAACCGGGCTACTGTAGGGTATGGGCACGCCTCGGTCGACGTGCTCCTTTGCCTCGGTTGAGCGCATGGAGTCAAATGCTAAGGTTGTTGGTTGAGAGCTGGTGACGTGGGCGCGCATCAAGTCGGCATTAATGCTTGCTTCCTCAAGCAGTGCGTCCACCTGGCGTGGCTGACGTCGTGGCATCTGTTGCCATTTTTACCCTTATCATATTCCCCCCCCGAAAGGAGCTATGCGTCGGTTGTCACGCAAGGGGAGTCCGATGCATGGTTTCTGTCTTCAGGTGGGCTGGCCGTGCGGACGTAGTTTCGGGGAGTATGGAGTCAAGGAGCACAACGCAGGCGGGCTGGCCGCGCAAGTGTGTCTCGGGAACATGGAGCCAGGGAGCACAACGCAGGTGTGTCCTGGGTTGCGTAAAGCCGAAGAGCGGAGGAGCACGACGTAGGCGAGCTAGCCGCGCAGGTGTGTCCCGGGTGGCGTTAAGCCGAAGAGCCGAGGAGCACGACGCAGGTGGGCTGGCCGCGCGGGTGTGTCCCGGGTGGCGTTAAACCGAAGAGCCGAGGAG